TGAAATATTCTGTATTAAAGGAATGCCATGGACGTAGGTATTACCAGCTACAGTACACTGAATTCGTGGAAGATAGGACTGATTGTGAAGGAATTACATTCAAACTTCGAGGTGAATATCTGCATTATTGAACGTACACAAGGGCGATTTGCGAACTTTGCGTGGGAACAAAGTTCTCGACAACATTCTGGACGTCGGGTGCAGGCAGTAAATATTCCATTCTAATGGACGTATCGACTCGCAGTGGCATAGCCTGCGAGCAGAACTACTCGTAGATATGCATCCATAAAACTAGCGACGATGGACCTGCAAATATCATTAGAGTTCATATCGTGCCTTAAGGAGATAACAAGTAGACTTTATATGATAATTAGAATACACTGACTGGACCTCTACGAAGCTCTATTAAGGAGAAGCTAAAGATTACAAGATTCGGATGCGATGCATGGCAAGTTAGAAGACAATCACGTTCAGTATACACATTTAATACAATAACCACACGTCAATCTTTGTTACAAAGGAAACATAAGAATACAATCACTGCAACCACTGTCGTGTCGCCGGAAGAAATGACATAGTACACACATGTAGAATGCACCTAAATGTTGACTTTTATGTTTGTATTCAACAATACGCAGAACTGTGGATGCGTAGTAACCACGAAGACTTTCAGGTGTTGTCCCTCCGCCACCTTGGTCGACACAACAGATGAGCTTATAGGAACAATAAAACGGACTCTTGACGCCTTTCCAGCTGTTCGTGGAACAAATCAAACTTCTCAGTTCCGGGTTCACGGTGCGCAGTGGCCACACGCGAATAGCAGTATTTACCTGCCTGTGAATAGGACCATTGGAGAGTACGACTACGAAGTGAAGAAGGCAAGGGAAAGAAGAACCTTGATAAGTACTGTCAACATACGAGCTGCTCAATCCACCCTCCTCGAGATCCTCACAGTCATGAGAGAAAGAAACAGGAGTGAAATAGTGACGTTTAAAAATTACCTAAACAAGATTTTCTCTAAACTGGAAATTTTCTTAATTTGTTTACTCCAATTCGTTCGATTTTCATTCAAACCTTTGAATTTTTGTAAAATTGCTTAAGTTCAACCTCTTTTTTAAGGGTCGGATGAATTGTTGTCCCGACTCAGCCGATTGAAGTAGTAATTATGTTGCTTCCTGAACCTTTGTACCTAACTTCATACATCATCGAAGTCACGTACTTGTATCTTGCGGCTTAGTTAGGTTTTTGTGGGTTTAAGTAGTATTACAATACAATTACAATTGTTAGTAATTAGCAATTGTTGCAATTAGTGAGAAGAAATATGTGATAGCAAAGTACGTTAATGCAAAGTACGTTGTAGCAACACTAGTTCAATGTTGTATTCTCTAGTTACCTGAAAGAAGTATTTCTTTAATAAAAAATCTCGTTCGGGGTTGATAGGCACTTTTTAATTTCGGGTTGGGTGGCACACTATTTACCAGACCCTTGCTCTTTCTATCATCTCCTGGGTAAAATCTGGGGTAAAATAACCTCTAGTGGGCACAGTTAAGAACACTTTCTTAGTTTCCTCAAAATTGTTGGGCTGACATGCGAAGTTCGTAATATGGAACGCAGTGAGCGTTTAGTAAATAATTCTTCCCATAGTAAGTCACAAACAGTTTTAAACTATTTTTTATGTTAAAAATAAACTAACATATATACAGTTTTGAAACTACCAAGACTGGTGTAGTTGGCAACGCGAGGGTGTTCTGCAAGTGTCATGCAGTGATAAACTTGTTTGCAATAATTTGTGCACAAAGCGTTGAAAAATGATTCATTTTGTCGTTAATTTATTACTTCACACTTGTTCAGAAGTGTTGTGCCAACATACTACACGCTAGTGCCAACCTTCCCCAAGGATGATGCCAACTAAAACCACAAGTGGAGTTGTTGGCACATCTTGACATGATGACTTTTAACGACTTTAAAAGTTCGACAGTCAAAACATTCACGAATAAAAACTGCCATAAAGTATTATAAAATGCAGTTTCAGTTGATCCAATGAAACTAGTAAAAACAAAATCGGTGTAAAAATATACAATTTACCAACTTGTGCGAATCAGTCCCCACAGTGACATAATTAAAATATTCTTGCCTTATTTATTCAATATCTTGTATCAAAAGATGAGTTCAATTGAAAGGGTAACATATTTTTAAAAAAATAATTTCGATCTCCAGTTACAATCATTATTGCATTTAACTACTATTTTGTATTTGCAATGGAGACAATAACACACTTCTGAAATTCTGAAAAATGGCAAATGCGAAATAATGTATTCATTCATAATGTAGTTCGTAACATTACAAGAACACATTAATTAGAATAAGGTGTGTACATCAACAGTAATTAACTGGGGTCCTAATAACGTGGTCTGGCATGAAACTATTGGTAAACATGGTGAATATTTACATAACTTTAAGTCTTAAGCGGCCAAATTCTGTTGTAGGGACATTTGAAGTTTTCCCCATACGTTTTAATCGCCAAAATAAAGAAATGACTAATATTAAAGAAATAATCCCAATATCTTTCACCCCTCAGTGTGAGGTGCTTGTAGATCCACGCTGAAAAAATACATGAATCATTGGTGTTCTCTCTATCAATTTAGAACAATATTTTAATATTCCTTTCAGAAAAAAAACAGGATGGCTCTCATTAGGAATTGACCTCTACGTTGTAATTAATAAATAATTTATTTCATTACTTATTTATTGCATTTATTGATTAATTTATAACAATTAATTCCCTTAACGACCATTTAACTTTTGTTTAATGTCCACATTTCTTATTTCCTCAATTTAGGTTTCTGAGAAACGAGGAATTATTTATGAATTTTCTATGAAATTCCGAAGGAAGTATTTATATTTTTCTAGGAGTAGGAGACAAAAAGAAACAGAAGAAAAAGCAATGAAAAAGTAGAATCAAGGAATAAATCATTTTTTCTTTTTGATAATATTTGTCCGAATTTCTACAGAAAACTAATATAAATAAAATACAAGATGGGACCCACAACAATTAAAATTCCGTCACATTGATTTGATCAAATTGTATAAAACCACTCTTTTTTTTATCATTGAAAATAATAATTTTGATAAACGAAGCCTAAACGCCCCTCAAAACTATCTATCTGGTACGAGAAACCCAAAGAAATTGTTTAAGCCATTCCCTATATTATCCCGCACCAACAAATAAAATTTGTAAAAACAATTGAATGGATTTTCATATCAGGTAAACAAACATAAGCTGATAAAAAGACAGTTATTTTGAATCTCAAACACTACTGTAGCATTAATTTATAATATGACATCTAAATAAACAAAGAAATAAATTATATAATTTGCAAAAAAATATCGCTAAGTCGATGATCAATTAACCTGCTACCGCGCGATTCGGGAGAGTAACAACATATTTGAAACAATGTAATGTTCGTTACCAGTTATCAAGTGTTATCACGTGTTTGAAGCTGCGAACCCACGCTACCAAGCACTGCAGTCCCATCTCACCATTCGTAAAAAAGTTGGTCCAAGGATCAACGTGAATCGCCAATCGCCCAGAAGGCTATCTCAGCGACCCGGATACGCACCCCCCACCAGTGCTGTTTTCCTCAAACAGGCCGCCCGACAGTCTTCGATTTTCGGTTACATCACTGTATATGCGGACATATAAATATTGACATGAAAAACTTAACAATCTGCCTTCCACAGCAATGTGCAAGCAAAGTGCAAGCTTCTTTAAGTGCACTTTAACCATTACATGAACTTTCTTTCTCTACAATTTCACGAAATCAGATTATTAGTACAGTAAATTCCATTCATCGGATGTAAACGGAGATCAGTCAAGTTCGGATATGCGAGAATGCGAATAATACAAAAGACAGATACAGAAAAAATAACAACTTAAGTTCATTAAATTTACTTCCACAAAAGTAAGATACAAGAAGCTGTAAATACTATAATATTTACTCAAAAACTAATATCACAAATAAAATTATGTTTACTTTCTTTTTTTTATTCTCCTGAAATCGGTTCCAGTAATTGGTTCTTTACATCCCTTTTTCGGTATCAATGACCCACAGTACGCGGATTCTCACTACACTATGTAGAATGTAACTACACGTAAGAAAGTAATTCTACAAATAGGAGCAAGAAAAATCCATAATCCGAGGCCAGAAAAAAATCGGCACTTTCCCCTGCAGCATTATTTTGCTTTCTCAATACTATGTAGTAGGATACAAGAAAGTAAAAATATTTACTCTTCAACACGCTTCAAAATAGCATACGCAGAAAGTGAAGATAATAAATAAGCAAATCGCAAATATATTTTGGTACACAGTAAGAAATGCTCAAATATCCGGTCTTGTGTTTAAGAGAGGCGGCCGATAAAGTCGTAGGTCGCAAATTAATGTTCATATTCGAACAAGGGCCAGATTAATGTCTTAAGAGGTCTTAAGCTTAACCTAACTGCGGGTCTCCCAAAAGCTATTGAAATTATAAACACAGAATTAACTACAGTCTTTACGTTGTAATTCAATATTAAATTATTAATATATTTATGAACTAATGAAACATTTTATTACTATTTTAATGATTGTCAAACATTTATTGATAAAAGGCTTCCAACTATTTATAGATTTATTTTTCACATTTGGTCTTGAACTACATTTCGGAAATCAATGTGTCTCCATCTTCAGATACATGTTCTGACTAAAATGAAAATTAAAATACGTAAATATTTTGTACAATAAATGAATACATGACTTTAAAGAAAAGATAAAAGAGGAAACATTGTGAAAGCAGGCAGCAACAGTACGATTGGAAGCTTTCTTTTCATAAATTGTAATTCGAAATCTTGTTAAATATGGACATAATATTATATTATTTCAGTAGAATAGATTCTATGATTGATTAAAAACTTAAATCCTTGTCATATTCATCAACAGTTTAGCTTGCACAATGTTAATATTTCACTTAATAAACATATTTATGATTCCACTTCGGAGTTGGTTGTGGAAGGTTCGATGGCCAAGTACTACTGCCAGGTTTTTTGTACTTTCACTCAACTATAAGAAACAAGAAAATAGTAAAAAAAGTTAATGTTTCATTCAAATTTTAACTGCAATAAATGTGATTGTTTTTTCAATAAAATCCTGATTGTCGATAAATGATTGGGATCATTTTATCAATAATGAATAATTTGATTAAAAAATCATTGTTCCGTCTGGGGGGAGGGGGTCTTATTGCGGTTCAGCAATCCGTCTCCGTTTCGAGCGGTAGAGTTCGGAGCGGTTCGGACGTTCCTTGCAAAAAGGTCCGCTGGGAGCGCTAGTGCCCGCAACACGAGCTGAAGTCACCCGCTTCCCGCACGACGAAGCGCGACGGCAGCGCTGTCTGTAGTTCAAGGTCACAGGGTTATCACACTGATTCCTTCCAAGCACGTCCGCCAAGAGCAACCTGCTTTTTTATTTTTTTTACTCCCAAGAACGGCCGAACTGTAGAGACAAATTCTCAATTTTGTTCTGGGTCAGGAGAGCATCGCGTCAAAAGCGGAAAAGTTATTGAGCGAAGTCATCAGGAAGATAAACTTCTCTCCACAGAGATGCAGAAGAACGAAAGTTATTATTTAGACATCACTTGACTTCACTCTTTCGCCTGCCACACGAAAGTACTGTTGAAAATCTGGAGACTAGAGTGGGTTTCGAACCAGCCAGCTCTAGATCACAATCCCAGAGATTAGGCAATGAGCTACCACAACAACTCGCAAATTTGCGTTCTATAGTCCATAGTAATTGAGATACCATTTACAGGTGGTACTTGCTGGTAACTAAAGTATGATGTTGTATTTAGAAACAGTTTATTTATTTTGCAAAGAATTAAAAAGATGCTTACTATTAAAATATACTAATTATTTTTTCTTGCAAGTGCGTACATAGGTCGCAATACTCGTTTTTTAAGAAGTACCAACATTGTTATATCCCAAATAAATAAAAGAATTCTGAAAAATAATTATCTAAAATAATTAATATTCATTCAGTAGGAAAGTATTTGTTTCAATCGTCTGTGCAGGAAATGGTCAAGTAATAGGCTGTGTCGACTTGCTCTTTTCGATTATAAAAAGTATTATAAAACAAAAACGGAAGATGTGCTGTGGGAATCGTAATTTTAAACCGAACTTTTTTACTTTAAAGAATTGAAAATAAAATGTATATTTAACGTAAATTCAAATTCCCTTCTATTCATGAAGCATTCACTAATAGTAATCATTCAGTAAACATTAAATTAATTTGTCAAATTTATTTTCTCTTAGAATTAACCTGCATTAATCAAGACCACTCTTAAAAATCAGTGTCAAATCGGCGTATTTCTGCACTGCTGGAGAAGTCTACAATACCAGTCTGATAGATGGAAATGCTGCGACGCATGAACATAGGATATTTTGTAATGATACTAACAACCAAATGAAGAATCGATACATCTCCTTTATCGAATATGAAGTATCGATAGATAAAAAATGTTTGGTATCGATACTCTAATTAGTACTTCAGATTCAAACATTTCTCACAATACCTTTCAATTCATTAAATATTGCCATAATATTCACATTTATTTCCATGAACATCTCGAAGTATAGTTAACTAATCGAACAGTATGCGGAAAGTACCTGTGACGACTAAGTGATATAGTAAAAAACATGTAGTTTATGTAAAATGTAACTATACTACTGATTTACAATTCTCGCATAAATTGAAAGAAAGCTGTGAAGTCTGCGGCTGTGTAAAGAATGTCTACGATTTCGTTATATACCTATTTGAATTGAAAGGACTTTGACTGAAAAGTGCAAATATTTGATTGTGTTTTCCACCAATTCTCATACTGCACTTACCGACTGAAATATCATTAGTAGATCATACAACACTGCTTACACTGCTCTGATATCATGCGGCAGCAAGAATCCAAGGAAGAGTCCACACAATTAAATATTTGCTATTCACTGTTGCGTTACGGAATAATTGTTTTTTTAAATTTTCTTGTCACGTAATGAATTGATATACTGTCCTTAAAATATAAAACCTCTGTACATCGAAATTCTCTATAAATAGAATTACTTTTCTGACCCTTGAAAATTTAATTTTTCAACGTTATTTATACATATCGAACTCATTTTTTGATTTGACTATTTTTACTTTAAAATAAAAATGTACAGTTCATATTACGTATAAAGTGTGTTCAAGAAATCGGCAGGGTTTTCAATTAAGAGAAAATGTTCCAGATGAAGTGTTTCAGTGGGTTAATATATGCGAAAAATATTTTCATTGGAACCCATCATATATGCAACAAGACATTATAATTTTTATTTGATTATATTATTATTATTATTACTGTAAATTTTGAAATTTCAATTAAATGATATGTTCAGGTTATATTCAATACTAATTTAATAATTCACTATCCATAAATATGAGGTACAAATTAATAATTAAAACATTTGTTAATTATTTATTGTTGTGATTTTTCCATTTTACCAAGTTTTTCCAAATTTGTTTAAAAGCATTTACAAAAATTTCATAATTATTTGTATACATCGAAATTTTTATATATCGAATATTATCGAAGGATCCGTCAGGTTCGATATATGGAGGTCCGATTGTATGTAATACTATATTTCTACTGCATTCCTAAGGACTGTTTCTCTTAAAATATTTCATTTTCTGCAGTGTTATTTCTTGTTCTTGAGCAGCTTCTGCTACCACTGTATTTTTATGTGTAAGCATATACTTGAAAGACTAAATAATAGAGTAGCCATACGAAATGCCAAAACAGAATAACGGAAAGAGCTTGCATTGTTTACACGAATGGAACAATTGATTTATTCTCAGTTATCTAGATTCTTTCCCAGCCGAAACCGTAATTTTCTTAATATACTTTTGCAGCGCGTGAAGCACCAATGCATATATTAATATCGAGCTCTGCTAATACGCAGTTCTAGTTGTGTTAAGGGTTTTCACGTTCGAGTGGCATACGCTAAGATGCTTCTCGCTAAGGAAAAAGTCTGTATAGATAACACAATTTTAAGCATTCGATAGCATTGGGACCACTATAATGAGCATCGAAAACAGAAGATTCCTAGCAGTGACGCAGCAGGAAGGGAGAGGCGGGGGCGAGGAATGAGAGACTGAGGTATGCGTATTTGTAGGGCTACTCAACGAGGGTGCTTACAAAAGATTAGGCTAATCTTACCAGGCACCACTGACATTAAGTAAGTCTCTCATTCTTTTGTTATGTAATTTAATAACTGTTCCTTGGTAAAAAGGAAAACTTCACAATCGGTGTGCACTAATGAGCTACATATTTTTATAATTTTAAAATATAAAGAATAATACTAAAGAAAATATTGAAATGAAAAAATGATATATTCCTTTGCACGTTTTCTATATGTAGTAAATTACTTCCTCTAACAAGTTGTGTAGTCAGCATCCTTATTTTGTGGGTCCATGACACCGGCAAAACGTCGAATCTACAGTCCGCCATTCCGTCTCTCCGTCGCTCCGCCTCTCCGTCGCTCCGTCAGTACGTCGCTCCGTCAGTACGTCTCGGAGTTTAGCTCGAGAGCGATGTTGAAGGCGAAGGCAAACCGAGCACGTGGACGAGGCCACTGAGCGCGTGTGAGCCTTCAGCGATTGATCCGCCCACCCAATTGCATGTGCCCCACCCTGCCCACCTCGGTCGGCCTCAATCCGGCACCGCGGTGCTCGGGTTGCTACCGCCTCTCTCTAGCGGTTGTGGCAGCGGTGTTGTGGAATGGTGGTTGCAGGAGAGGCGGAGGCGATAGTGGAGATAGCGGTGGTGATGAAGAAGGTGACAGTGGGGTTGGTAGAAGCGGTAATTACGGTGATGTCGAAGTAAGAGCGACAGCCTTTCGCCTGCCAGGCTGCATCACCAGCCAGTAGCAGTAACAAAGGCACTAGTGATGCTGGCTGGCGTTAGCAGAAGGGGTTGGGGGAGGCGGCGATGATGGTCGCAGAAGTGTTGGGGTGTTGGTGGTCCGGAGGTGGTGGTGGTGATGGTCGTGGTGGTGGTCGTGGTGGTGGTGGTGGTCGTGGTGGTGGTGGTGGTGGTCCGTGGTCTGGGTGGATGGAGTCGTGGGTGGTCGTGGTGGTCGTGTGGTTGGTCGTCGCGGTAGTGGGAGATGGTGTGGTGGTTGGTGTAGGTAGGGTGGGTGTGTGGTGCGGTGGTAAATTACATAGTGTGGTGGTGTACGTGGTGGTGGGGTCGTTTGTGGTCGTGGTTCGTGGGTATGGTGGTGGTGCGTGGTGGTGGTGAGGTCGTGGTGGTGGTGACGGTCGTGGGTGGTGGTGTGGTGATTGGTGGTGGGTGGTGGGGTGGGTGGGTGGTGGTGTTAATAGTGGTAGTGGTGGTGGTGATAGTGGTGGTGGTGGAGGTAGTGATGGGGGTGGTGGTGGTGGTGATGATTGTGCTGGTGGTCATGGTGGTGGGGGTGTTGGTTGTGTCATGTTTGTTGGGAAGGCAAGGTCGTTGGCTGAGGGATGGGCCAGGCTAGAAAGGCAGCCGTCATGACTGTGGTATTGACTGAGGCAGTTTTAGCGGTAGCAATGAAAGAAGCGACGGTGATAGGGTGAAGGTAGTGAGGAAGGTGGCGGTAAATAATACGGTGGAGTGGAGCTAGGAGCAATAAGATGAAAAGAGCGGTACGGGAATCGAACTGTTTACTCTCGGGCAACGACACTGGACTGACTTTCACTTTCTCATGTACGTACTACAATCAACAGAAAGAACCTTGCAAAATATTGATCCCGAGACAAGGTCTGTCTATCTACATGTGTCCGTTTCTGTTCGTACGATATCTATACGCCTGCCAGCAAATCCTTTTGTCTGTTCATCCGTTCGCCTACAACACCTAAAAATCATTACAATTTATAAATATTAATTTAATTTGTTTTTAAAACCTTTATTCCAAAGAAAATGTATGTTCTATTTCTACATAGTCTACCATTACAGCATTTCAAAGCAGGAGTAATCAATAAGAATTTCAACAACACAATAT